AAAAAAAAAAAAAAAAAAAAAAAAAAATTTCCATTAATTTTTAAAGTTCTAGTGCTCTGTTTGTTATAAGTTTGCCACAAAGTTTGTACTTTAAAAAATGTGTCTGCGACTTTTTAAAATACTTATATATGCTGTATAGATGATCAGCGTAAAGTGATGAGTCGATTCATTTATGTTCGTGCAACCGAAGTTAACGTTTTCTATTGTTTTTAATGAGTTTTTTGCGAAGTGTTGTTTAAAAAACAATAGACGTTAGGTGGCGGTACATCTACTTATCTTATCTTAGTTTACTGTTTTACAAAGTAAATTGTTGAGAAAATATAAATAACAAGAACTTGCTTCTAAACAAAAATATGGCATCATCTTGTAAAATTGTAGTTTTGCATATAATCAATAGTACTGCTTCTCTTTCTTGCTATATGGTATAAATTCATTAAGATTGTGAATTATATTTCAAATTAAACGCTTATATATATTTATAAATTCTTATAATTCTCTTTTTCCAGGCGTTGCATCATAAAAAAGGATGGCGAATTAACCGGTGTTATATATAAACAAAAACTTAATTGAAAGCGAGCTCCAAAGTAAACGTGCTGTGCCCTTTTTATAAACCCACACATATATGCATAAATAAACCAAAATATCTATAAGAGTGTGTGTAAAATTTAGCATAAACTTCTTTTGTAATAAAACCCTTAGCAAAGTATGTACGTATATACAATATAGCTTATGAAATCAATTCAAAACTTATTTGCTTAATATTAATAAGTTTCTGAAATTTTTGTTCTTAGAACTAGCTACAAATGCAAAAATATTTTTAAAATTTCACTAATTAACTGTTTTGTGAATGTACCATTTTTTTTCAATTTTAATAAGTGCTACAATAATGTTAGCTCATTTGCTTTAGATGTGCCTAGCAGATAAGTTTTCTTTGTTTTATGTTCGAAGTAGTTTTTTGTATTGCATTTTTGTTTATAAAGTTAGACGGCAGTATTGATCAGATACAAAAACAACAACAATATCATCAACAAAAACTATATTTCTGCGTACATTGACGATATGTGTCCCCTTATGAACGCCTTTTGCGCTGATTTTGTTTTTGTTGTGCCTCATTTTCGAGCGTAATTAGAAATTCCAATGTCACAGCGTTCTAAAAATGTATCTAGGTTTTAATACACTTACATGCGTGTATATGTAATAGCATCAAAGGTTTACAGTGGAGTGGAGCGTAAATGACATGCGGCAAGCAGAGAAAACGCAAGTCAAAGCGACAAGTTTTTCAATTTAAGGTAAACCATTTTTTCCCATTTGCGCGCTAAATGGAGAAATTTCAAAATCGCGCCAACGTGTGCGGCATGCAACTCGCATACGAAACCTTATGTGGACACATATGATGCATACTTATGTACGTAGGGATGGAAAGCGCAAGGAGCTACAGCAAGACAAAACGTCGAACTGAGAAATATTGCAAAAGTGTGTAAGCAGTGTAAATGACTTGAAACCCTCTTTTGAGGAAAATCGAGAGAATATCTTAGAAAAATTAATGTACTTTTATTATATTTAAAATTTTCCGAGAATATTTATTTTCAAATATATGTACATACATATGYATATGTATGTATGCTATGAAGAAAAATCGATTGTTTTGGAAATATCGAGCTTTAAGCTTAAAGGTTCCTGGTTCCGATTTTACCGTTCCCATAACAGTCGGGTCTTAGTAACCGGAACGGACCCGGATTTTTATCCAAGCGAGTACTCTAAAATAGTTTGGAAGAGTTTAAAAAATTTTTTTTTTTTTTTTTTTTTATGAAAAACCTCCTCTTTCGAAAACGTTTAATGGTAGAAATGCGTGGTTTTCGTTCACATGCAACTGCAATATGTGGCATATGCATACGCAAGCACAGAAAGAACGGTGTGCATATGCACGTTGATGCATAAAAAGAGGGTTTGGCAAATTGGGTCACGCCTTTACGCCCGGTTTGATTTGTGTTTGCGCCTTTACCTCGCGTCATGGGCGGCAAGAGTTCGCGTTCACAACACACACCTACACATTAACACTCACTTACAAACACATATACATACATGCATACATACAATATACATATGTATGCGTGTGCTTCTATGCAACTGTGGTTCGATTAGCGCTTCGTTGCATGCAAATATGCTGCACATGCACGCACATAACTGTACATATGTTTGTTTGTTTGCCTAATGTGGTAAAAACAAAACAAATGCACATGCGTGCACGCGTCCTACGGTACCGTTAACGAGTTTATTGTAATTTTTCTGCATACGTGGCAACAAGTGCACGTACACTTCGCGTATTTCTTTGCGCGTGCCAGTGTGTGGATGTGTGCGCATATTCCATTTAGAGGTGGTGATGTGGCATTTGCACCACGCTTGTCAAACCGTGTAAATTTGCATCGAACATGTGTGTGTAATTGATAGTGAGGCGAAAATATGTAACTAGGCGATTACCTGTGTGTACCTTCTACATATTTACATACACATACACGTGCTTAGTGATAATAATAAGTGTTTTCATGGTATTCGCCATAATTTCCTATATAATTGAGCCGAGTGAGATTGCCTCATATATTACTTACATACATAAGTCGTCATCGGATGGCTGATGGCATTTTGAGATATTATATTTATACCTTTAGTAGGCTAACACTCAGATGGAATCGTTGGAGACCCTGTAATATACATCGCTGAATCAGTCTGTCTTTTTTTTATGAATACGCCAAAGATGGGTGCAAGCCTTCCAAAGATATTGATGGGCCGTACCAACAATTATGCTCGATTCATTGTATAGTACAGAGTTTGTACAGCTAAAGCACTCCTTGCATTGAACAACGCTCTGCTACTCTATCGATGGAGTCTTTTTCCGATATAACATTGATTGCATCAAATGATACTGTACTGAATGCGTAGCAGATTCTGAGCGACACCAGTCGGTGTATCGAAGCAACTCCTCTCATGTCCGAGCTATGTCTCGTACCAGATAAAGAAATAAACACCGATCATAGATTAATCGAACTACCAACACTTGTTAGCAGCTTTCTCATTGGAGGCCTCGCGTTTTGGGCATTCTTATAGCAATTGCCGACACAGACCTCGCCGCTTTGCTGCTTGTGGCTATTAGATGCTGCTTGAATGAAAGTCTGTCATCCAAGATTACTCCCAGTAATTTGAGATGAGAGCTCGATTTTGTAGTATTCCCATCAATACAAATCTCAATTGTTTCAACTCTCTTACGACTACTCATTAATACCACTTCCGTTTTGTGAGCAGTTGGTTGTAAATTAGTAGTCTCATTACACTTGTTTCTCACCTCGTCAAGCATCCGGCATCGTGAGTATCAGAACACCATTGTACATTAAGTTCCAGTATGCAGGGGCGAGAACTGATCCTTGCGGAATAACGCCAGCAACTTTGTACGTTTCAGGTCCAAATTATGTGCCGTACACAGTACTCTGTTTTTGAAGTAGCTTGCTACAATTCAAATAGTCAGAAACTGTCAACTCTGTCTGAGCTCTAATAATTAGAGTTCTATTCGTTGAGTTGAAGGCATTGTTAATGTGCAGCGTAATGACTATATTTCGTCCATCTGTCCGTTTGTTTGTATATGCGAACTAGTTCCTAAGTTTTCGAGATATCGTTCTGAAATTTTGCACAAATTTTTTTCTTCCCAAGAAACTGCGCATTAGCTGAAACCGATAATATCGGGCTACTATAGCATATAGCTGCCATATAAACTGAACAATCAAAATCAAGTCCTTGTATCGGGAATTTTTTATTTGACAATATATCTGCCTAGAAGAATTTGCGTTGAGAAGGATATTACTTTTTCGTTGCAGTAGAAGTTAAGCTTTTTGTTCCGCAACTGACTGATTAAGCTCAGTGCCAATCATGCATTTGGAGAAGTAATTATCATCTAGGCGTAACGAGTTTTCTAGAGAAAGGTTCTGCGGAAGATTTATGGTCTTTGCGCATTGGATACGGCGAATACCGCAATCGATGGAACAATGAGCTGTACGAAATTGCTAGAGGCGAAGACCTCCACTCCATTGGAATGACCAAGTGGAGAAGGACCTGTTTATACTTGGAATCTACAATTCCAGGAACGACTGGCACGCTGTTGTAAACTCGGCTATAACCGATTAAGCGATGTCTATGCCAATATCGAAGAAGAGCAGTTATCATCGAACGGTATATTTGATTGGTTGAAAGGAAGGCGAATGAGCGCCACATCGCAGGAGGCTGCGCTTAAGCCTTCACTATCTTGTAACTTATTGGAATTGGTAAGAATCTGAATTTTTCTCCGCCCTCAATGCCAAATGTTTCTGAAATTGAAGCATTGGGAACCGTGAAATAAATGGCGTCTCATCCGGCTGAAGGCAGGGCATTTATATAGAAAATGTTCCATCGTTTTATCATTGCGCATGTTGTGGTTTCCTCCGGATTCAATTTTGTGAACTTTGTGATATACTATTGTCTTCCAAAACCTGAGGTGTTACTCTAGGCTCTATTGCTTCGAACAACCGTTGAAGGAGCTGAATGGTTTGGGACAGCTTAGGGGAAACCTGTTTCCTGCTGCCCACGATTTGCCTAACTCCTTTGCCGTTTGAAGGACTGAATTGTAGTATGAAGCTACATATTCCATATGGAAAAAGTCCGCTCCTGTTTCTATTTCACTTTTTGATACGCCAATGAATATGTTGATTTCGCCGTAGGAACTGTCGATCACAGAATTATTCTTCTCTACTTGGAAATGGAAATGTTGTGTTTAATTTTTCATAGATCTCCTTCTCTCAGCATTTCATTTTTTTAGGTTTCTTTCTCGAAGAATGCCGGAATCTCTGCAGCAGTGGTGAGATTTTTATTTTAATGTAGTCTTCAAAATTTTTATTTTTTATTTAAAAAAAAAATTATAAATATACGCTTAAAATTCTAAAGCAACTGATACAGCCAGCTTTTTTAATTCCAAAAAAGCACAGTTTGAGTTACACTTGTGTCCCTTAACTTACTCGCCCGTCACTCATACGCACCGTGCTACCGCTAACAAAATACACCGTTCATACACATGACAGTCTGTTGCTCATTACTATTTCGTTTTCAATTAAATTTTCATTTCATATTACAAATACATGCATACATACATACATACATACATACAAACAAACACGCTGTAAGTAATGAGCTTCAGCGCAATTACCGCAAAGGGATCATTATGCCGATACTACCGGTGTAATGCACCACTACTTGCACTAGCGAGTGTGTATTGGTGTGCAATAGCTCAACGTGTCTCTAAGCAATATTTCCGTTAATGCAATGCGGCAACAAAAATAAAAACGAAAGGAAAAGAGAATGGGAAAATGTTATCATTTGGCTGGGCGCTATTTTCATTATATGAGCATATTTCAGCAAATGAATTCCAACTGAGTGTGGTCAAGCGTGAATTCGCGCTGCTAAATGTAAAAACCGCAGCGTACAAAACGGAAAACCGCATCGGGGCCATGAGCCAAAGGATCAATAGTTCGCTATGCGCGAACGTGTGTGTGTGTATGTGTGTATTGGGGCATAGCCGCGCGGCGAATGAAAGTGAAATTTGTTGGCTGGTTGCTTAGTTGGTTGGTTGGTCTAGTCTAGTTTAGTTTTGCTTTTATTTTTGTAAATTATAATTTCGTACCTGCAATGAATGTTGAAATGGCCTATACACTGCATCAATA